TTTGCCATTTCCTTCTTTAGCTCATTTTGCAAATAAGGAACTAAGACACATAAGGTGGAATTACTTGCCCAGGGTCACATGGCTGGTAAGTGTCTGAAGCCAGATTTGAACTCAGAGAGAAGAGTCTTCCTGGTTCCTAGCCCCGTGCTCTATCCACTATGCCACCTAGCTATCCAAGTAAGCTATGGAATATTGTCAATAATGACTTGAATATACAAGATGTGGATTAAAAAGTATTATCAAGGTTGGATTATCTGTGTATTATCTGTGTATAACCAGAAAAGTGGGTCAGTCATGTGGTGAGTGAGGCAGACAGAATAAGGAGGCATAATAAGGAGGCAGCTAAAGTATTACACTGGTATTCACAAAATATTAAAAGAACCAGAAGAAAGCCTTTAACACACAGGAGAGAACCTCTATAAAGGATTTTAAATGACTGGGATCCACATAGGATGAGAAGGTATACATGAGTTGCTATGCACACTAATGGATGGATTATCCATGCTGATGTCGTTATGAAAAAAAGGAAGCTTTCTATTAAAGTGGGTATCCTACATAAACATAGTATCTTTTAAGATTTCTACTGGGTTGCTTTTAATAAAGGATTATAGAGGCTGCACAGTATGGTGGAAAGGGTACTGGGCTGGTAATCAGGAAACAGCTTTAATTCTTGGTTCCAACACTTAAGAACATCTTGGAGCTTCAGTTTACTTATCTATAAAACTGGAATAGCAGTCCTTGAACCACCTACCTCACAGGATTGTTGTGGGAAAAATCTTTTTTAAAGTATTATGTTAATATGAACTATTATTTTTGATATGTAAAGCATATGTTGACCAGGAAAGCATAGTATTCTCTCTCAATTAGGTAAGCACCTCTACAGGAATATGGACTGCTAGGTAGCAAAGTGGTTAGAGCACCAGGCATAGAGTCAGGATGGCCTGAGTTCAATTCCGGCCTCAGACACCTAATAGCTTAAGTCACTTAACCCAGTTTTCCTCAGTTTCCTCATCTGTAAAATCAGTTGAAAAAGGAAATGGCAAAACACTAAAGTGTTTTTGTCAAGAAAGCCCCATATGGAATCACAAAGAGTTAGACACGACTAAATAACAACATTTTCAGGAAGCCTAGCCATTCATATCACAAGGTACTACTATTTACCTGGCATTAGAGTACCTAAATGACAGAAACAATATTTGATAAGGGTGGGTGAATGAATGGCCACGCCTTTAAAGTAATGTCAGATGTCAAATAGCTTACTAAGAATTATATAATACCTTTGTTTCTCCTTTCTAATAGCTTTTCATTTGGTTTTTATGTGCATTGATGTTGCTGGAGAAACTTGTCTGTGCCTGCTTAAGACATACTTATACTGGGAATAAAAATGGAATGGAATGGAAAAGTATTTATTAAGCACTTACTATGTGCTAAGCAATGTCCTAAGCATTAAGCTATTTCTATAACCTACTGCAATGGGAAATGGTAGTAGGAAGAAGTACTGAGGTGGTACAGGTATATAGAATAATAGAAGCAAAAGATTAGGGTTCAAAAGGAATCGTAGGGATCCTCTACTCCAAACACAGCATTTTATAAATAAGGAAACTGAGGCCCAGAGATGTAAAATTATTTGCTTCAAGTTACGCAGGTACTCAACAGGCAGAACTAGGTTTCACTTAAAAAGAAGGTAAAACTTTTTGACATGTAATGATTATTGAAAACTACTTCCAAGGCTTCCTTAAGATAGATTGAAAGATTGATACATAGGACATTTACTATGAGCATATTATGTCAGGTATATAGTAATGTGTAAATGAAATTTCTGGCCTCCAAAGACATGATAAATGCTGCCATCTCTTATAATCAACTGTGAGAATTCCAAAGGTGAGGCAAAACAAAAATAAAAGTCCAGACATGATGCTCAGCCCCATTTCACTATTCTGCATATCATCTTTTTTTTTTTTTTTGGTTAGGCAATGGGGTTAAGTGACTTGCCCAGGGTCACACAGCTAGTGTTATGTGTCTGAGGCCGGATTTTCTGCATATCATCTTGACTGCTTTTCCAGTTATGGCCAAAGAAGGCCCACATCTGCCTTTAAGCTTTAAACATTCTACTGAACACAAATCTCTGTATAAATGTTCCCTGGCTAATAATAGTATTCATCTGAGCAAGAGACAAGTCTCATAGCTAAGAATGCTCTCATACAAACAGCTGTTGCTTACAGTAGATTTCATATATCTATTTCCTTCAAATCCACATTAATGATGTCATGCGCACATGAGCAGCTAAGCCAATCTCACCTCTGATTTAGATGACACTACCATAAGCCTTCATTATTAAAATTCAAGTTGTACTCAATGGATCCCATACCACTAAACACACCTGCATCTTCATCACATACTATGTGCAGCAGACCCACGTATGCCTGACTATTCAGAAGAAAAGGGATTGTTTGGGTCTAGGGGAAGGAAGATGAAGGGGATGTTAAATATGCTGTTGTGATGAAGTTATGACTACCCAATTTTTTGTGTCTTTCTACTACATTTTTATGGCTATTATGTGCAAATCTAAGCTAGCTTATTTCTCTATTTCTTCTTAACAAATAGATCTGAATGTGACCCAGAGGAGTAACCATCGTATTCTTAAATGCAGCAGGCTAATGCCTTAGCAGTCATTAAAAATTGCTACTTGGGCTAACAAACTCATTATTCAGAAGCCCTTACATCTCAGAAAAGAATGGAAAATATTAGCAGATAGTAAAATATCATTAGCAAATGGAGTAACATGTCATTGCCTAACTAGATCATGGCTGGAAAAATCATTTCCTGACCTAAAGCCTCTCTGTGGATATCAACATTGTGAGGTATCTTCTATTTTACCCTTTTAACCAAATGTTTTATTTTTTGAGTTAAACAATTTTGGCATTAAACTCAGCTAAGTATTTATAGAAAACAGCTATTGTGTTGTAGAAAATGGATTTCTGCAGTGGGGGAGGGAAAAGCATTTGGGAGGCAAATAAGCCAAACAAAAATGTACTTCTTTACTGGGGCCAAGAATCTTGCTTTTCCCCCCACTCCTCAATTGGCAAAAAGTCAAGTGTCTGATGGCAAACTCTTTACTCCCCTAACTCAAGGAGGTTCCCTGCTGAGTGGGGGGCTGGAGTTAGAAGCAGCTGTTACAGTGTCATATACACAGGGAGTGCCCAGTAAATCTTGGAAACTGTGGGGTTGGACTCAGGCCCAAGGTGACCACATCCATCAATATTCACCCAGCCAAGCCCAGCCCAGCCCAGCCCAGCCCAGCCCAGAATACAGAAATCTCTGGTCTCTAGATAAGTTGAAACTTTGTTGGGCCTATGGAGAAGCAGACTATGAAAACAGGGATAAAGAAGACCAGAAAAAAACAAAAGACCTTATTAAAGGGTCAGTATTAGGTGAATAACCAGTTTTACTCTGAATACTTGAGGTGTCTTCTAGATACTACATTTCTATTCCAGAGTCCATATGGTACCAGTGGTACAATTTAGAGTGTTAGTTTGGGACTGCTGTGCTACATTTTTATGGTATTTGGCAGCATTGGTAATTATTTTAAAATTACAAAATTAAAATCACACTGTTCTTTATGCTGGCTTTAATGAAAACATACGCCTCACATCAAAGATTTGTATTTTTGGCACGACTTTTCAGATGGCCCAAAGGAAAACCTGAAGTGTTTTTTACATATCTGGGCATTTTTTTTTCCTTCTGTATCTTTTTTTTTTCTATTTGGTCAGGATCTCAGGCAATGATGCTGTCAATGCTAAGTCAGATGGTTATCAGATACCGGGGTTATGTATGTCTGGGCCAAGTACCATCTCCAAAAGTGAAATTCACACTTGCCAGCTTGCCAAAATGACAGCCCAGTGTGATCCCCTGACTCTTCGTCAGTAGCACACATATCTTAAATGATTTTTTTTTCCAGTAGTGGTGATAACTTTACATTGGGCAATCAATTCTCTTTACTCAGCTCCTATTGAGAACTAGAGCACACATTTCTAAGGCAGCTGACCAGTTTCATGGAGGGAGTGTGTGCCTAGGCAAGCCAGACCATTTTACTAGGCTCCAACCCATGTACTTGGCCTCAAAGAACATGGAGGCAGCTAAGTGGTGCAGTGGATACAGTGGCCGAACCTGAAGTCAGAAAGGTCTGAGTTCGAATCTGACCTTGGATACTTACTTGCAATGTAACCCTGGGCAAGTCACTTAACTGCTGTCTGCCTCAGGTTCCTCAGTTGTAAAATGAGGGTAATGATAGCACCTACCTCATCGCGGTTGTTGTGAGGATCAAATAAGATCATATTTACACTTAGCATAGACCCTGGAACAGAATAGGCCCTATATAAATGCTTATTTGTCCCTCAAAGGCACCATGCAGTAAGTAAACAAACTAACCAGCCCACACAAAGAAAGGGCAGGGATAATTGTGTGATTCAGCATGAGATTTAAAGTTTACCAGGTACGTGCCTTATAAGAGCCCTGTGAGGTAGGTGGTATAAATATTGTTCCCTTCATTTGACAGATAAGCAAAATGAGTCTCAGACAAGGTGTAACTTGCCCAAGATCACACAGGAAATGCCACAACAGGGATTGAACTCATATCTTCTAACCATAAGTCCAACATCAATGCCACTTTTCCATGAGCAGTTGCCCTTTCCCAGAATTTTCCAATAATTAAAGCCATCCTCAAATGGATTGGACCATTTACAAGATAATCAGAGGTATTCAAACAGAGGCTGGTTGTCCACTTTCAGGGATACTAGAGGGAACATTCATCCATCTACCAGGCAGCTGAACTGGATGAGCTGAGGTTTTTCATACTCTAGGATTCTACTGTTTTACTATTCAAGGTAGTCATGTTATAGGCAGATGCCAAGACACTGACTTGCTGCTGGAGGCTGTGGAATGGGAGAATCCTACTCGATGTCAGAGTTAAAAATATTTGGTGCCCAGGGCACCCCACGTACCTGCTTTTGGTGCTGCAATATCTCTGCAGTTTGTAGCTCTGGTTCATCGTCATCAATTTCCATGCTGGAATTTTGGGAATAATACTCCATTGGGGACCCAACGCCTCTCTCTTCATCATCCTCATCTTTTTGTTCAGAATGAACTCCAAGTCCTGGTAAAGTCTCAGGGTGCTCCATCTAGAAGTAGCAAACATTGTACCCACAGTGCCCACTTTTAACAGTAATAGAGCCTCCCCAGGGACCCTATTTTTCTCCAGCCCACCTTTGATTATTTGGGGACGGTGTTCCACTTTGGAAATTAAAGTTTTTGGCTTCTCAGGCCTTGGTTACACACATTCTGGAGATTCGCACTTCCTTCAGAGAACAGGCAGGGTTAGTGATAGAAAAGCCTTTCTGATAGTCAACATTTTTTTCTCTCACAGAGTTATAATTATTTGAAAAAAATACAGGATGAAGTGGCTGAATTTATTGGTTAACATGAATTTTAGGGGCTTTTAATTATCCATAAGCATCTATGCCCCTGGTCCCTGAAAACAGAATTAGTTGAATTCTTTTTTTAAAAAATACATTCTTCTTGGGAGGAAAGGGAGCCACTTTCTCTCTCTCTCTTCTGCCCATATTATTTTCTAACATTGCATAGGCTTGCCATCACAATATTCAGACAAGGCCCCCACAAGGAACAAAATAACAAAGAAGGATAAAAAAGCCAAACACAACCCATGCCATGCCTCTAAAACGGTGATAAGGTTAATTTTCAGGGGAAAGGACAATCTGGGCGACTTCCAGTTTCAGTATCTAAGAATATTAGAAGTATAAAGGGATTCAGGTTGAGAATTATAATTTCAATTTCTCCGCATTAGACACTGCCTTTGTGAGCCCAGTGCTGGGATTTAGAGTCTCCCCTCCCTTTCTTCCATCGTGCCAGGTGCTCTTTCTACATTCCCGGCCTCTGGAGGTGGCCTGCCTGCCTGAGGTCCGTGCGGCCATTCCCCAAGTGAGAGAGAGGAGTGAGTACCTCCATGAAATCCTCTGTTTCCTCTTCTCCTTTCTTGCCCCGCCTCCAGTGTTTCAGAAGCCATTTGAGCTTGACATAGAAGAGGAAAGTGTTCTGCCTAAAGTGACGGAGATCCTGCTGCAGCAAGTTCTTCTCTTCCTCCCATGTCCTCCGCTCCAGGGTGTTCTGCAGGGACAGGCTCTGGACTTCTAGCTCCTTCCGGCGCAAAGCATACAGGTGCTCCTGCTCCATCTTGAACAATACAAAAGAGAGAGTATAGAAAGGCTGCCAGTCCTGGAAGGAACACAATTTGCCCAAATAGACCAAATCCCAACCAAAGTGCCACTTATATCCCGATACCTGGCAAAGGCGTTACTTTCCCAGAGCCTTGAAACACCAAAAAATTTTGAGTCCCTGTGTTTCACTGTACAAATCAATCTCTGACGAGAAGTCAATTATATTACATAAGTTTCTTCAATCATCAAACATAAAGCAACAATATTACTAGTATTACTCAGATGCCTTCAGAATGTTCTCCAAGACTTCCAAACCTTGCCAGGGCAAATATTCTCTGACCATGTCAGTTGGAGTTGCCTAAAATGTCAAGCCCAATTTCCCCTTGGCAAGAGTGGTATGTCATTTGAATGTGTAAAGGCACCACGCAGGCCCTGACAATCCTAGGGTAGAAAAAGACTTCCACTTCACCTCCCACCCAGGCCTAATTAGAAAGGAAACAACCTAAGCAAGAAATAATTTTAGTTACTAGTATAGACAAAACTACATCTCTTAAAGTGATGACAAATCTTTCCCTGTGTTGAATATACTCTTACAGATAAAGGAAAGCACAAAATTAAATTACTTTAATAATATGGTTCCATAAAAATTCCATCCTTGAAAAGGACCCACATGTACAAAAATATCTATAGCAGATCTTTTGTGGCAGCCAAGAACTGGAAATTGAGGGGATGCCCATTGACTGGGGAATAGCTGAACAAGTTGTGGTATATACATGTAATGGAATAGTATTATTGCATAAGAAATGATGAGCAGGCAGACTTCAGAAAAACCTGGAAAGACTTACATGAACTGATACTAAGTGAAGTGAACAGAACCAGAACATTTTATACAATAACAGCAACATTTTACAATGACTAACTTTGATAGACTTAGATCTTCTCAGCAATGCAAGGATCTAAGACAACTCCAAAAGACTCATGATGGAAAATGCTATCCACATCCAGAAAAAGAACTATTGAGTCTGAATGCAGATTGAAGCATACTATTTGCTTTTTTTTTTTTGGTTTGTTTTTTCTTTCTTGTAGTTTCTCCCATTAGTTCTATTTCTTCTTTACAGTATGACTAATGTGAAAGTATGTTTAATATGAATGTATATGTATAGCCTATATGAGATTGCATGCCATCTTGGGGAGGGGAGAGGGAGAAAATCTGGAACTCAAAATCTTACAGAATTGAATTCTGAAAACTAAAAATAAATAAATAAATAAATAAAAATTCCATCCTTACCATGTACTTCATATTAGCATATCTCTTGGAGAAATAATTGCCCTGCTCAGAATCAAAACTTTTCAATCTCTACATTAGCCTTGTATCTTTGACCTTTAAATATCTGTGTAAGCTTTCTTTGCCTCCCTCCCCAGATCCAAATGGCCTAGATGTACATAGAACAGTGGATCAAATGTGCCAGCACACTGTGGAGTTACATTCCCTCAGGGCAAGGGCCAGTAGGAATAGTCCTGCAGGATATGCTAGTATACCCAAGTCAAACTCTATGCATGACTTTCCTTCAAAAAGTATTTACTGAACACCTGTTATATAATGGCATAACAGCCGAGGATGCAGGTGGGAAGTCTCATTCTGTCTTTTTCACAAGGAAGATCAAATTGATGTTTATGGATACCAGAATATTGCAACCCACAGTTAATGGCTGAGGGCATTTTGACTCATTGCACAGATATATGTCTGGTGTGAATCCCAATCCAAGAATCCTTTTCCAAGGATAAACAATTCTAAGACCAAGGAAATGGGATTTGGGAGAAAAAATAAAGGCACTTAAATTGTTTTACTCAAGTGATCACCTCTTTTAAGGTTTCAACATGACCTGATGTGCCACAGGAAACTAGAACAGGTCATGCAACTTGGCTTCAAAGCCAAAGTAATCTCTAAAAGGTGCCATTATATAATTGGACTTTTAATATTTTGTCATGGTATCCAGTCAGGACTCTACAGTGGCATCTGTAATAATGATGAGAATATCATACCATTTCCCCCAAATATTTTCAAGTCTATCATCATAATGTCAGTTATTAAAAGCCAATATAAATAATGGCAATGATGGAGATTTTATTCATCATCTCATTTAACACCAAAGAATGAGCCATGAGGCATAAATTGGTTGCATTTTATTTGAATGAGAAACCTCCACCATGAAGAATGGTGGGAGAATCTAATACCAGGTGTTGCCTATTTAAAATGATCTCTACACTCTCCCATGTTGCTATTATCCATGGGCATAATTAGGAGACAGAGAGAATAGTTGCTCTAGATGAAGGCCAGAGTAGGGAGTCCCATCCTCTTTGACTCACTGATGCCATTACCCACCATGTCCTTCTTCAAACCCCTCTCTTGGCTTCCATAATATTATATTGTCCTAGTCTTCCTCCTATGTCTCTTTCTGAAGATTCCATCTGTCTTCTTCATTGGCTGCTTTTCCCTCTTCTCACGGCGAGCTACAGGTATTTCCTAAAGCTCAGTTCTTGGATCTCTGTGTGGATTGAGTAACACCCAGCTTCTCACTCTGCACATAATATCATCATAGCTAGTGATGTGAGTATATGACCCTCCTGCTCATTCGTCTCACTATTTCCCTCTTCCGCTGCTTTGAGCTATAATGCTGAGGTGCGAAACACCACAGATAACCCCTCTCTTTATAACATGAAGCTCCCTTTTTCAATCATGATCTTGGTACTATATAGAAAATAGGAATGTAGATACCTACAACAGAACAAAACAAAGACCCCAAACAACTTAAACTCTGATTTTCCGTGTAACATGAAAAGCCTTTATTTTTCTAGAATAATGAAATGCAAACTCTGACCTTCAATTCAAGCAAACCGCTTTAATATTCCGTTACATCAGTATACCACAATTTGTCTATTCCCCCAGTTGATGGGCATCCAATATGTTTCCAGTTCTTCACAACAACAAAAAGTGCTATTATAAACATTGGTAGATATGGATCCTTCTCCTGCTGGCAATATAAGCCTATTAGTGGTTCTGCCGGGTCAATACAAGCATAAACTTCTCTAAGACAAGAGTATATCCAGAGAGATGATTTTCAATGCACAAGCTTCTCAGGATATAAGCAACTCCAAAAAGATGGAGGCTAAAGAATAATGATAGCCAATCCCTGCAAATAAAGACAAGTTTTTCAAGAAGTTGGAAACTTCTTGATTTTATACATGATCTGTACAATTTACAAAGCTCATGAAATTGAGATCAGTTGTTTCTCAAGGATATTCATATCATTAAGAATGTGTACATGTGATTTCTTTTTTTTTAAAAGAAGCTATTCTAAGTCTTACTTGGTGTTTATAACTTAATTAGATACAAGCCTGAAGGGGATTGGATGTTCTGCAGGGAAGCCTGTAGGCAAGGTTGGCTTTTATCTGTGATTCTCTTCCACCAAGAAACCTGGGCAAGGATTCAAGGGATAAGAGAGTAATTAACTGGTATCAGCTTGTTCTCTACTAGCTAGAAGAATTAAGTAAGAGATAACTGAACTCGTGATTATTTTCTGTAGACAATATTTCAGGGTAAGATTATCACTGTGGTTGGAATCTTATCTGGTACAACCAGGACCAATAACTGTACTCTCAAAAGATACAGAAATACCAATGGTTCATGTTCAAATGGGCCCCCATGACTTTATTCATTGAAATTACAATGGGATGGTTTTTGATCATGCATTAGGAAAAAACTTGTTGATTCTAAAGGTTATAAGATACCAGTAAACAGTACTAAAAAAGAAGGCCAAGGAGTCAGGTACTCTCTTTCTGGGATAACAAATATTGCAGGGTTATTGCATGACCTTCAGATATCTTTTCTGGGGTTGAGAGTCTATGATCCACTTTTATGCTGACCATGTTGGGTTTTCTGGGACAGTCTTGATTTTGGGAAAAGAGAACATACTTTTAAAGAGAATTTGCAAAAAAAAATATCTTTTGTCAGATTACATGTCTCAATTTATGGTTTGGGAAATATGACCATTACATCTTCCTTTAAGACCTAGTTCAGAGGATCACAGATCTAGAGTTAGAAGGGCTTAACAGGCCATTTAATACAACCTATTCAATTTAGGGAGGCCTAGAGAAATCAAGTGACTTGCCTAAGGTCACACACAAGTGTCAGAGGCAAGATATGAATCCAGTTCCTCTAATCCTAGGCCTAGTGTTCTTTCCACTGTACCTTGTCATTGTTCCTGATGGGAAAGAATATTAGGGTTCACAGCATGAAGACTCCAGACAAATTAGCAGTTCCAGTTAAGTCTGGCTTATGTAGTTACCTGGATGATCTTTGCTTTAAATTTTTCTTGATCCTCTTGGTGAAGTCTGGTCTCCTGCTCAAGCTGAGCCTGGAGCTCCTGTATCGATACATTCTGGACAGGTAAGACAGGGGTATCCCTGAGCTGATCAGCAGGATAAAGGGACAGGTTTAGTAGAGAGGTGAATTCTGACTGAGGTGAAAAATGTGTGGGGGAGACATGGACACAAGTCACAGCCATGGGCAGTGAGAAGTACACAGCGTATGTACGCATGGGTCTGTAGCAATGGAGTGAGCAGGGTAGAATTTCATGGGGGGGAAGAATAAAGCATCAGATTTTACCACACACTTTTCAAAACTACCTGCATGATCTGAACAGAAAAGTCCACTATGATGAAAGAACACACAAAAGTACACCTATTTTTAATGATGTCTATATAAGAAGGTAGACAGGAGGTCATGCTTCATTTGAACAACTTAAAAACTTTCTTATACAAAATCTTGTTTTCTGTAGAAATCTCTATCTGCTACCATAACTGACAATAAGAAAAAGACTATGGGGAAATCCAAGGCTCAGTCATTGTGGTTAAGTCAAGTTTAACTATTTCTTACTAATGCTTGTCTTTTTGGCAAATATGCCAACCTTTTTAAAGTGTCTTTTAAAATCACTTATCTAATTTGGCCCTACCTTTTCATATGGGAATCAACCTGTGTACATCAAAGAAGGCATTTTTAATTTGGACTGCCATGTCACTTTGAATGTTTTTAATTTTCCATTATGACTTGGACTTACATAAGTGTTCTATTTTGGTTTCTTTCTGGATAGAGTGTTGGATAGAATAGTCAGGAAGATGTGGGTTCAAATCTTATTTCTGAGACTTCTTCAACAATGTATATTCTCTGAGCATCGGTTTCTTCTTCCATAGTGAGGGTAATAGTACTTCACTATTGTAATGAGGCCTAAATGAGATAATCTATAAAATGGTGGCAAGCTTTAATGTTTATTGCATATGTCAGTTATTATTATTTGTTCAAGGTCCATATATGGGTGAAGGAGCTGCTTCATAAGAGGAATGTAACAAACACTGAGTTAGTCAATTTGAGATTAGAGAAGGCTATGGAAAGATATAATGCTCTTTTTTTTTTTCAATCAAGATTGACCATCTTTTACCTTCAAGTGTTAAAGGGCCTATGGCTTTAATTTAAAATGTTATGTGTTTTGAGAAATGAAAACAGTGACAGCAGAATAAAAAAAAATCTTTATCACTTTTTCTCCAAAATGACATGTCATCTGAGAAAATAATTTGCTGAATCATTTACTAATCAGAGAATTAGAGTAAATTACTGTAACAAAAATGTTTGCCATTGCATTTCATTTGTGATCTTTTAACCAATTCATTTTCCAGTGAATGTGACATTTACATTTCCTGACAGGATGTTACCTGTGGTGTGGTGTGCCTATGAGAACATTTATTTGATCATTCTCTGATCTTTTAATAAGAGGTTGTTACTATTATCACAAAAAAGTTCAGATTCAGAAAAAAAGATTAACTTGTTTTTCTATCCAGATACTGAACTGGAGTGTTTTTCTCATTGAATTTATCTCTATCAAACTGTATACACCTGATAAGTGTCTAATTTAACATTTTAAAAATATCTTCTACCATCTTTAAATAAATCAGGTTACAAAACATTTGTACTATATTGTGTGCTAAAATGTCACTTTGGTGGCAAAAAATGGCACCATATGTATATGTATATGTATATTAGAAAACCTGACAGAAAAATACAATTTCAGTTTCTACACTTCTTGACCAGTATACTTAGTTTTGGTCTAAACCTAGAGTATATAACTTGAACAAAGAATGTGAAAAAACTATAGAGACTTTCACTTGAAACAAGGATAAGATCCTCATTGCTGATCAATTTGACTTAAAATGGATACTTCTGTTTGAACAAGCAGCTATGAGGGCCACACATAATTCATAGAAACATACTTGAATTAGATTATTAATCTGATTCAATGACATTGTCTCCCATTTTTTGGGTGCAAGTTTTATCCTATCTTATTGGACCAAGTATATTGAAGTAGTAATAATGATATACAACTACACTTTCTTCCACTACAATTTTACTATATATGAAATATTAAACCAATCCGGCCAACTGCTCTCCAATCAGTATGCCAAATGTCACTCCAGTGTTACATAAGATGAGATGCTCACAGATATAAAACACAAACACAATACAACACCAATTGCAGCTTAGAATCATTCTCTGGCCACAAGACTACAGAACATTCACACAGATATGGAGGAACATGTAACATGTCTCGTGCTTCCAGTCCCCTCCCAGACTCAAACAGTTTCAATTCTTATTCGCTTGGTCACTCACCACAATTTTGAAAATAAAAACCATTTCAAGATGCTTTATTAGTTGCTTTGATTTTAAAACAAACCAATTCATTTTGATCTCTTTCTCAGAACAAGTCATTTAAACATGATACAGTCATTGTTCACATCATATGCTGTCAAAACTCATTCCTCAGTGTAGTATAATCCCCTTTACCTTTGTTGGTTGATTAAGAATACATAGCTCTCTTCCCACTCCACAGAGAATCCATTGTGTTTCTTACTATGATTTATTTACCCTGACTCACAAACATCCTGAGGACAGGTGGTTTATAAATTATTTACTACCTTTCCCATCTTGACAAGCCAAAAACTAATGCTTTGCATTGTAGCTATGCCCAATGAAGTGGGTTACTATCACTGCTTTTGGTGACGAGTCCCATCTCTTTCAAATGCGGTAGATGATATCAGTGGGTGTGTATAAACGCATAGTATGAAATCTTCATCTATTTCTATTTCAGTTAATGTTTCTCAGTTCAGGAAGGAAGGATTTCAGATGCTTTGTGGATTCTTATGATTGAAAGAACAAAAGAACGGCTAAAGAGCTGTGTGAGAATTCTGACTCTGAAACCAGACCACTGCCTTTGGGCAATGGCCAGACTCACTTATGTTTGAAATGTGACTGCTGCACATGGGTAGCGGCTTCTCTTTCAGAGCTATTTTTAAGGTACCCTTCACATTCCAAACTACATATGATACATACAGGAAAGAGTGAGCTTCTTTCCTCACTTATACATGTAAATCTTCCAGACAACTTAATGAGTGCAACAGGAGCATAGCTAAGAGATGAATTTAACCCACAGCATGAAAAACATGCCAGTGCCAAATGAGATACATGGGCAGACACAAATATCTGCTATTACAAACCCTGGCTTTTTGGATCAGTTCATTATGATATGAGTTTTATAAAAAAATCACTTCTATTTGGTAACAACTTGTATGTGAATGTGTCTAAATTCTGCTTTCTTTGGTCAATCTAATAAGATAAAGTGATGGTGTTTACAAGCTCATAGATTTAGGGCTAGAAAGGACCTTATAAGAAGTTGATATTCCAATTGATTCACTTTACAGATGAGGAAACTGAGGTTCAGAGAGTTTAAATAATTTGATCAAAATCATACAGGCTCTGAGCAATAGAGGGGCCTTGAACTTAAGTCTTCTGAGTCCAAATCCATGTTGCATTGCATTAGGCTGTTTCCTTTTTGTTCATAAGAAGATTGTGAATACATATTTTTTCTTTTTAGGTAATCAAATTCAGAGTTGCAAAACTTTTACAATGACACGTGTAAATGTACTTATAAATACGTATAGATATAAATAAATGGAGTAGACCTGTGATTTCACTGGTATAAGAAACAGCCAAGTAAGGAAATTCCCTTTACAAAAGTCAATGCCCCTTTTCTGAAATGGATAGTTTAAGAGAATTGCCTAAAGCAGAAGTGTCAAATTCACAGACTGCAAGATTAAAATGTAACCGGGAAACATTAAACAAAATAAATAAAAATATAATAGAAAATAAATATTAATGTTATATGTGGTTTTCCAAGTCAATTTGTGGTCTGTAAAGATCACTATATACTAACATTTCTATTTGAGTTGGACACCACTGAACTAGAGCACCAAAGGGTTAAATGATTTGTCTAGGATCCCCGAGGTCACAAGGCAATCTAAGTATCTGAGTTGGAGGCAGGACTTGAACCCAGGTCTTACTTGCTACAACCATGTTTCCCCTCCTTATCTCTTTCTCTTCTCCTATCTCCGTCTCCTTGTCTCCATCTCCATCTCCCTCCCTTCCTCCCTCCCTCTCTTTTTCTCTCTCTCTCTTCTCTCTATATGCATATATATGCAAAATATATACAAAATCTTCATTATTTTAAGAATGAGAATACAACATTCTTCTTCTCATCCAGTTAGAATACCCATATAATACAAAACTGGAAACTCTTCTTTTCTCTTGAATTAAAGGCTAACTAAACCCTCTCATCTCCACCTCTCCTCTCTCTGAGGGAATGAATACAGAAGGTACATAACAAATGGAATTAGAGAAACCAATAATAAGACTTCTAGTAAATCTGGAAAGCTGTTTTACTTGACTGAGCTAAGAGTGCCATGGACCAGAACTGACACATGGGAATTAAGGACAAAGCACTAAATCAAACTCACACACTCACACCAGTGGCTGGCTTAAGACAGACCTTGAATGTTGTTTAGATGCAGAGTCAGCTACAGTCAAGAAAATTCCAAACTTTACAAATAGCTTCTTTGTAGCCTACACTCTAGGTGCTGAATGTAAATATTGGCCTTTGTTCCCCAATTACCATTGTAGTCTCGGAGAGGTTGGACTACTCAAGGGGGTGATTGTGATAATCTCTTATTTTTCAGCCTATTTATCTGACAGTTCCACTTATCCCCTATTTCTATCACAGTACAAACAAGAACAATCATTCTCCACAGAGGATATAATCACTTCCAGAGAATCTAGTCAACATATATTTAGAACCAAGCAAAGTTTGGGTCTTAAAACACTTTTTAATATTCAACTATGTACAACTCTTAACCACATTTTGGTGTACAAACAGTAGCTAATAATACTGCCAGTGGCATTTAATAGTTTTCTCCTCTAAGGCCACCTTCATTTTATATGTGTATATATGTATATATGTATATATATGTGTATATATGCATGTGTGTAATAAACACACATATACATATGTGTATATATAGTATATATATAAATACATACAAAGGCATATACATCCATATATACGTGTGTGTATGTGTATATCTATCTATATATATGGGTGTATATGTGTGTGTAAATATATATACATATATATTTAGGAGTATGTATATATATATTATACATACATATATACCCATCTATCTATCCATCTATCTATCCATCTATCTATCTATCTATCTATCTATCTATCTATCTATCTATCTATCTCAAATGTGCTTATTTGGTTGCATGTTGTCTTCTCTCATTAGAATGTAAGCTTTTAGAAGGTAGGATTTGTTTCTAAACTGCTTCTAGCCTTTCTTTTGTGTCTCTAGTGTTTAGTATAGTGCTTGGAACATAGCAAATGCTTCATAAATGTTTGCTGGTTGAAAGCGGGTCATTAGATCAGAGTCCGAGAGCAGGTGGGACCTCAAAGGTTGTCTTATCCAACCTCCTCATTTTACAGGTCAGAAGCTGAGGTCCAGAGAAATTGTGTGATCTTAGATTTGCCTAAATTCGCACAGGTGGGAAGTAGCAGAAGTAGGATTTGAACCCAGGTCTTATGACTCCTAATTTGTTGTACTTTGCTGCCTCCCCACTAAGACTACAGAGCTTCTACTAGGAGGGTGAGAGCAGTAAGGAATTTTAACACATATAAAATTTTCTGTTTTTCAACCTATCATTTGCATTCTTCAGATATTCTCAGTTTTTTATGTATACATATGGTATAAGAAAGTCAGAGAGAGCAAAGGATACTAGCCTGCCCCTGTCTAAAATCACATCCTTCTTTCTGGGAAATGTATTTCTGGATCTTGAACATCCCTAGGATCTCTGATTCTCTAGTTAAGGCACACTATCACCATGACCTGAGATAGCTGTCTATAAAAAATACGGATGCCAGAATGGTGAAACAACCAGATGGTTAATTAGTTCCCTGAGAGATATGGTGCCCATGTCCTTCTGGACCTACCTGACTTAAATTATTTCTTTATCATATTAGGGATAACTAAGCTGATTCAAATAGGTTATCCCACATCTCCTTTCTCAAACCCTATGGGTTTTCTAAGTACTTTGAGTTCATATATATTATTATTATTTTTTTATATGAGGCAATTGGGGTTAAGTGACTTGCCTAAGGTCACACAGCTAGTGAGTGTTAGGTGTCTTAGGCCGGATTTGAACTCAGGTCCTCCTGACTCCAAGGCTGGTGCTCTATTCACTGTGCCACCTAGCTGCCCCAGTTCATATATATTATAAGCAATAAAAGTAACTAGTATTGGATTAGTGTTCAACAGCTATTGCCATATTGACTTACAGGAGGAAAACAGAAGGAGGGATCTTTGGCCAAGCTGTCAGATTAGAATTTGGTAAAGAAGTGGGCAAGGGAAGAGAAACACTATTCTATATGGAGCGGTTTCCAATAAATCCAGTAGCAAGGAAACTGTGAAAATAACAATAAATAGTTGACTGTGGATATCCACCTCAGATTTGTGACTAAACCCAAGTTATAGCTCTGATCTTTATGATAGGTCATGAGGAAGAATTTGGAAGTGAGGAGGAAAAGAAGAAAGGGCAAAGGGATTAAATTTGGCAGGGGAAATCTGACAAAGGGCAGCAGGGCATAGCTGGCAGAGGGCTGACCTTGGAGCTAGGAAGAGCTGTATGCACGTCCTGTTTCTCTCACACACTGGCCATATTACCGTGGGCAAGTCGCATAATTTCTCATTTATCCGTTTCCAACTCTCCCTGCCCCATCCTAGCAACTGTCTAAGAAAATAAAGGTCCAGATTAATTACCCTTCTGAATTGGTGAAGGAGTTTTCAACCTGGGAGTTCTCCATAACCAATGCAATCACATGTCTGGACCAAACAACAAAATAAAAATAAAAAGCTAATTACCTTGCCCTGAGGAGCCTGGAGGTCTTTAATAGCGGTAAAAGTTCCACTCTGAGATAGATTGGGGATGCAGTTCTGATTTAAAATTGGGAAAGGTACCTTCTATTTAATTCCACTAATGACTCACTAAAGATTTATCAGGACTCAGAAGTCATAGAATATTAGAGCTTGAAGAAATCTTAGAGATCAAGTCACTAGATAGGCATATCAAGTGTGATTTTTTATTAAATCAAAATCTAAGGAAATGCCATTCTTGGCTAAGGGATCTGGGTTGGAACACAGATCGATCAAAGTTGGAGGATGAGAAGAGTCAGGGGCCTGACTACTGAATAGAAGTCCCAATTGTCCTTGTCTTTATGGCCAGGATGCCCCTGAATGAGTATCCAATTCCAAGGCTAAATAAACTATGTTTAAATTTTCACAAAACAAACGAGAAATCCTTATTCGGGGGAATGTTTGTTTTTGAGGGCCTTCCCTCGCAAAATTCAGAGATGTATAGCTAACAGGCAGTTTTGGGGGTATCCACATGACAATTTTGTTCTTGCTTGTCTGCTGAGTCTAAAGAAAAGCAATGTGCATTGTAATGCATTGCATGTTAGCAGAGGAAACTTGGTCATGACAGATACTTGGCTTTCCAGTGTCCCCTGACTATTTCTGGGGCTGACTCAGATCTGCTTTTGTTGGTATAGACAAGCCTCCCTGGAGAATCCCAAGGCCATTTTCCTTTGAATCAGACAATGCTCTTTCCAGTCTATCTTCACACCATACCACCAAGTGCACATCTCCCTCCACCCTTCCCAGCTCCTCTTTATTTCTCATCTTCCCCCAAGAAAATGTAAACTCCTTGAGGGAAGGGACAATCTTTCTTGTTTTTATTTGTGTCCCCATCTGATTAGAATACCTCCTGGTTTGCAGTAAGTGCCTAATAAATGTTTCACCTATCTGTCTACCTTTCTCCTGGATGGCCCCCCTATCCATTTTAGGACAGCATTCCTTTCCAACAGCCCAGATTTTGTGTGGGGTACTACCATTGTCACTTAATGATCACCTCCTATAAACATTTTATTATTTACTGGGGCTCAGAGGGCTGCTATAGAGAAAAGGGAAAATCCTAACAACAAAAATATTTAAACTTATAAATATTTAATGTCAATTTGAGACATGCTGCTTCATATCTCCCCTGAAAACTGGACCACCAAATAGTATTAGCCAAAAAGCTCAACAGAAACAAACACTTTCCCTAAGGATCTCTGCTCTCCCTCTTCCCTTATTTTACTTAGGAAAGTAACAATTTGCCTTCCAGCTACTGGCTGATTTTCTGTTATTCATATTCTCTGATTAAGATCCTCCATTTCCCTCTTCCCCTTTGTCCTTTTGGAATCAGCAATTAATGCTCTTGGGACAGAATCCTGACATCCCTTTGGGAAGTAATAATTAAAATCTTTGGTGAAATCTGGGAGATGTGACTATCCCTTTTCCATTTAGGGTCTGTTGGTTGGGCTGATGCCACTAACTAGCTTTCTTGTCTCTAACAATATCAATCCCAAAGTTCACAGGACCCCTCAGAGAAAATTTTTTTTTAATCTCCAGATAGAATTACTCGTGTCTTGGAGTTTCAGTTTACATGGCTGTTGGCAAATGTTTCTTGACAGATACAGAAGCACATAGTGTGGAGAGATTCATTCACATGGGGTCTATTGGGACAGCTGAAGGGTTGAAAGGTCCAGAGGATATTCATGTCCTTTTCCATAGCCCTGCCCTGATCACACCATTTTCAGAAGACCTGCTGCTTGTCAGCCATCATTGTATTGCCCAAATTTACCATTAAAAAGGTACTTAGAAGCAATCTCCTAAGAAAATGCAGGGTCTGATTTTCATCCTGGCTTACTCACTCATCCCACAGGTAGCAACTAAATGCTTTTGAATCAGTTTCACTTGTCAAATTATATATACTGGTATTAACTTCACCTGAAAAATACCAAGTCTGGCACAGGAAAGGAGGAATGTGTTGTTAATTCTGTTTAAACGTGTGCATCAGCATGTAGAAGGAAACATGTATTCAGCTCTGGTCCTCCAAAGCCACATATAGATTTCCCCTCTGATCATTTATATTTCTAGTTTATTTCCCAAAGCTACAAAAGTTACTAGCCCTTGCTTTGCCACAGCAATATGGAATGAGATGGAAAAAGAGATTTGGAAGGGGGATGTTGTTAGGAAGACTTGCTGTGACTCTGACCTCTAGACTGAAACAGCCTTTGTCTCCTGGCCTGTAGATTTTAATGTCTCCATCAGCTCTGCGGTGTGGTTCCGTAGTGGCTCGAAGGCGGTGAATCTCTCGCTCCTCTCCACGGTCTTGATTGGGCTGCCACTCCAACTGATCCCTCAGTTTGGACTGTTGGGTGCATGTGCATTTTATAACATAAACAAAGAACAGGAGGGTAGGGGAGGGAATAAAGAAAACAAAAATGGGTAAAGGTAGACAACTGGAAAAACTACAAGACAAAGAAAAGCGTGAATAGAAAAACCAACTTAAACACAGTGGCATAAGAGAGTGAAGAAAACAGAACCAAAATGAAGATGAGCAAAATGATGGGCTGAAACATCTGAAAAGCAAACAGACAAAGAGAGGAAAAAAAAGAATGCAAAACACTGGTTATGAGGCGCATGCAATGGGGGATGCATGAATCAAAGAATCAACAGCAAGCATAGTTGTCATGAAGGATACGGGTAACAAGGCTCTTCCTTCCTTACGTGCGCTGTGAAGCAAAAGCCATAATCCAGGGTGATGGTTTTGGCCATGCACCCAAGAGTGATGCCTTGGAAAGTAGTCCTCTGCTGGCTGACATTCCTCCCTCACTCATTCCTCCCCCAGGTCAGGGGGAGGGGAGGGGAGCGGGGAGCAAGCCGTCAACAGGATTGTTCAAAAAACATCATCCTCTCAGAAATTTTGTTCCTCTCCCCCCATTTAATACTTTTTTTTTCCTCCAGTGGGAGTGGACAGGTCTGGGATAGACATTGCTTTTGAGAGCTGGGCTTCGACCCTTCTGGTAACGAAGCCAAGAAAGATTCAGATGTTTGTTAGTAAGTCTGCTAATTATCCTGACTGCAAAAAAATGAGTTTGTGTTTTGTTTTCGTTCCTCATTGCTTCTTCATCAGGATTGCAGGTGGTGGGAGACCAAAAAGAGGAAAAAAGGAAAAACCACGTTGATCCCTACATAAGCTTCCAGGGGATTTAGCCTTGTATCATGAGCCTCTGAACCCAAAGTGGCTGAGTAGTTAAAAAAACAAAAACAAAAAAGAACAAAAGAAAAAAAAACTAAAAGAAACCAAACCAAACCAAAACAAAGCAAAACAAAACAACCCAACCAATATGAAGAATTTGGTTGATCTTTTAGGCTTTAATACAAAAAGCAAGTTTGAAATCATAACAGAGCAGCCGTGAGTAGAACAAATTCGAGAACAGCAATGCCAGCGAGAAGGAGAAACAGCATAACAGAGTGGGGAGGCAAACAAAGGACCCCCCTTACCTGGAAGTCTGTGATTAGATCCTTTCCCAAGTTACCAATAGGGGAGTCCCGGGACATGGAGGTCATGGTGGAGAGGAAGCTAGAAGACTCCGTGAGGTGAGGCAGAGGAGAGAGGTCTTCTAGGTGCTCTTTGAGTCCTTCCTTCACCTGGTCCACCTTCTCTAGAAAAGCCTGGAGCTCCTTCCTAAAGACCTTCATCTTCGAGTTGATCGCATCCAACAATTCAGGTTCATTTTTGTCCCCTTCGCTTGTCTCCCCTTCGCCCTGGAAACCCGATTCGGGAGAAGCATCCCCGGTGACGTGCAGTTTGGCATCATACATCAGGCTGTCGGTGTCAGTAATGAGGCGCTCCACGGTCCTCTCCAGCCTCTCCGCCACTTGCTTTATTTTGACCAAGGACTCTGTCTCCTGTTTGGCCCTCATGACTTCAGCCGAGCACAAGTCGCTGGCCTCGGATGGTTTTCCACTCCCAATGCCTGAGGTCTTCTCACAGACATCCTCAGAGTCACTCTCACCCCCGATGGGCCCCTCCCTCCTGGGCTGTCCTGGGCGAACCTCCTCTCCGTCACTCTCCTTCTTATCATCCTCACTCTCAGTGTCACTCTCCCCAGAGCTGGACTCCTCCAGACCCAAGTGAGAAGCCAGGTCATAGCGCTGAACGTTGGAGAGAAGCACCCGGTTTTCATACTGAAGTTTCATGACTTTTCCACTCAATTCATTGATCTGCAGCCGAGCCGACTTCAACTCTTCCTGCAACATTCCCCCGCTGCTGCTGCTACTGCTGCTGCTGCTACTGCTGCTGCTGCTGCTACTGCTGCTGCCACCACCTTTGCAGATGCTGTCCTCTGGCCATACTGACTCGGGGCTGGGTTCGAACTTGAACTTGTTCAGCTCGTGGGTCAACTGCCTATTGTGATCTTCAATCTCAGAGATAGACCGCCTGAGCAGATCGGCTTCCTCTTCAACAAATTGAAGATGGCGGCGCAGCTCCATGGACGATTCTACAGAGTCGCCATAAGGAGAGGTAGGAATGCTTGGGATGTGGTCTCGGCTAAGACACTCTTTCTCATACTGGCACCTCATGTCCTCCATTTCGGCCTTGATGCCGCGGTTCTCTACCTCTAGCTCCACAATCTTCCGGCCCAGGATGTTGGCTTCCTCCTCCACTAACTTGAGTCTCAGCTTCAGTTCTGCCTCCCGGGTGCTAGGAGGCCCCCCGGCTTCCCCAGTAGGCAGTGGGCTGTCCACATCACCATAAAGAGACTTGTATTTTTGGAGTTCCTGTTCCAAATCATCTTTCTCTTTCCCGAGTTTGGCCATTTTTTTGCGCATCAGGGTGGCTTCCTCTTTGGCAAACTGAAGCTGGCATTTCAAATCAGCACTGTCATCCTGCCAGGAAAGAACAGCCCAAAAAGAATTATTTTAAAATGTCAAAATTCTGTGTTTGGGATAATTTATCTGCCTTGCAGCTTGCCCCCAGCACACACACACACACACACACACACACACACACACACACACACACAC